AGCCGAGAGAGAAAGAGAGCAGCATCGACAGAGCTTAGGTGGGGGGGGGGGGCAACCGAGGTCGTGGTTCACCCCAAAATTTAAAAAATGCTTTAATTTTAAAGAAAAAATGTATTTTTTTCCCAATAAATAATCTTTGTACTAGTCCAGTTCAGTGCCCTAGCTCCGCCCTTGAAGAGCAGACGATAGAAATATAAGATGAAGAGCAAAGAGAATGGAGAGCAAACATGAGAAATATACACTACACTATTAATGGCTTAAGGCAACACTTTAAAAATGTTGCATTACACCCTAATGTGTTGCTTTAGGAATCTATGGCAACACTTTCCAATTTTAAAAGTGTTGAAATTTTGGCCAATGCCATAGATGCCTATAGCAACAAACAAAAATGTGTTGCAACTATTTTAGCTAAGGCAACATCATTCTTCACAATAACTAAGGCAACACATTTAAGTGCAAATACACTACTTTTGATATTGCAACACTTGGAGCAACATTTTGCACTAAAATTGTGATGCTTTTATTATGATTTTAAAACCATGTTTTTTGACACATATTGAAACATATTTGAATATCTCGTAAACCATTTTTAAAATCATTTGAATTGCAACAATTGTCATTGATAATTTAATTACAATCCCTCATTGATCATATTGTGGAATTTTTAGGACATACACTTCCAATTTAGCAAACAAGAACTCAAAAAAATACGATATGCAAAAGTAGTGCTGATAAATTTAATATATTTAATTGATTAAAGTATCATTCATACATTCATACTTATCGTAGCAATTACAACCCAAAAATTTAAAAAACATCATAAGTTTAAGAGCAAAAAACTTCTTCACGTTCTTGCATCCAAAATGGGAATTAGCCTCCATAACTACTTAGGAACAAAAAGCAAATACCATGAGCACCTGAAAAAAATAACAAGTATATCAAACACCAAATCAGTTATATGTACTATACGAAATTGAATGACGAAGATCAAACCAATTGCTACCATTCATTGTGTTATGTAGGATATTAAGTTTATACTTTGAACAAAAAAATTGAGTAAAGACATGTTAACTATTAATCTCAAAGCATGGTTGGATAAAAAAGAAATGTTAGAACAAAAATAACTCACTAGCCTTTTAAATACCCCATCCAAACACACTTCTAAGGGAAGTACAGGTAAAATCAGCATTGGCAACATGCTCCCAAGACAGTCTTAGCGTTTAAGAAAATCAAGAAAGCAATTTATTAATTCCTTTTACAGAGCATCATCTATAAAAAGTTCTTTAAGCTGAGACTTGAGAACAAACACACTCAATGAATTTAGGCATATAACTCGTAAAATTATTCACTACAAAATTGTTCAGTATGCAATGATAACTATTAATATAAATTCACAGTTTCTAATATTTACAAAAAAGTTTTTTAATGACAAAAGTTAAAGATGAACTCAATGTCTATCTATTAAGAACGGAGTACTAAACTAATGTGATACTTGGTAGTTCAGATCAACTGAACTAGAACTAAATACCACCATATCAAATATAATAGCTGAAAATTCGTTAGGCCTCTGGTAAGTCGAAAAGACATCAGTATTAGACATTTAGTAATTAACCTTTTATAGCAACAATTCAGTTCATAAACATTGATGTCATCAAGCATTCAGAGTGCTTGATTCGATGTTAACATTTTTGTTCTATTAATCCCTTTGAAAACTAAAAAAGAACAAACACACCGAAATAAATTACTCTATTGATTCGATATCAATTAAATTGACAAATTAATTAAACTTCTTACAAAAGACTAACCTTGATCATATTTCAATCTTTAATCTCCCTTAGATGTTTCAGCCTCATTAGAATCGGAAGAATTGGAATAATCTTGAAGCTCATCATTGGAAACATCAAATGGCATTGCTGCAAAAAGCTCTTCAACATTGACTTTCAAATTTGGATTGTCTGCTGCCAATTTAGTTATAGCAAAAGTTAAGCAATGCTTAATTTTCTTATTCATCTCATCAGCCATTTCTTCTTTTAGTTTTGTAATGTTAGGAGGTGATTCCTTCCGCTTCTTTGATCTCTCACGCCTGCCTATAAGATAATTTGGTAATGTTCGTCTTCTTCGATGCCCTTCATCGTCCTCGCAGATGGGTTGCAGCTTAGATGAGTTGCAGCGCAAATTATTTACAAAAAAATTCGGTTGTACTGTGCGCACGGTACAATCGACTGTACCCCTGTAGGAGTGTAGTTCCCATGTAAACCCCTTTTTGTGTGTGTATTTTAATTATTTATCCTATGTGAAGTTTTTTAATAGAGTTAATGCTCATCTTGAAGGATACTCGTGGATGCAAGACCGTTCACATCACCGCAAAAATCCTCATTTCAAATGGAAGGAAACATAGTTCTAAAGAAGAAAATCATGGAAGCTGCATCCAGAAACGACCTTTTTGATTTCATATGTTCCAGCCCCCTAGTGAATAAAACCGGTATAACCTCAGAAATGGTGGGCGAGTCTTTTGATAAGTGCTTAGAGTATGGATCAGTGTTATGCACACTATTTCACCTCAACCACCTGAATCTTAACCTTTCCGAAAAAGTTAGAATTTATCACTACTATATCCCTGTGTTCTTGTGGTGTGAAAATGAATTATCCCATCACTGCTCTAAGTTCAAAGGCAAAGAAGAAGTTCCACCTTTGGTGGTAAGTTTTTTTTATCATTCATCAATCCTTCCCTCCCTCCTTTCAATCAGAGTCGTTGAATTTTTTCACAAAGGACTAAATCTTGAAAGAACATGAAAGTCTAGGTGGAAGTGTGACCAAATAGATGGCATGTGTATGAATGAGATCTCAAATTTTGACATAGCAGTCTAAGTAGGGCAGAAGACCTGTTCTCGTCGACTTGATTTTTCCATGGTTTTGTCTTGTCTCATCAAAATACAGGTGGAGGATTTATCTCATTTTTTTTTATCTTTTTTATTTGTATCATTTTAACCTTTTTATCTTCATCTTATCTTTATCTTTTAATATTTTAGCTCCAATTTCATATGTCGATTCAATGGTTTGGGGCTTAGATGTTGTTGTTGTTGTTGTTTTGACTTGTCTCATCGGGACTGGTTTTATACTTAAAAAATAAACATGTGATGCCCCAGTCTGGTAGTGGAACAGATGAGGAGAATAAGTCTAAATCTGTTACTCACTCTGTTATCCTGTGCTTGTTGTGCAGATTGGGCTCAGTGCACCACAAGGATGTGGAAAGACGACACTTGTTTTTGCGCTGGATCATCTTTTCCTTGTAACTGGGAGGTAGGTTAAACAGTTTTATATGATTATTTTTCGAACTTGTACTCCATATAAAAATAAGAATAAGCGAAATTTACTCCTACATGTTGAATATCAGGAATTCAGCTATGCTGTCCATTGATGATTTCTACTTGACCGCAGAAGATCAGGTCTTCTTTGGTGTACTTTTTAAGCCAGCACTATAGGACCATTTTAACTTGTGGCTTTCATCCACTTTATTTGGCTAAGATAGCCTAATTTGTCGATATTATAGCAAAAATGGTTAATTTAGCTGAAATATCTAAACATGCATGTCAAATGTAATCTTTAATGAATTATAGTACATACATTTGATGGTCAAATTGTTATTTACTTTCATTGCATCCATGTTAATAAAACTGCATTCCTTTTTAACTATCAATCAGGTAGTGTTTTTTAGGAAATATGCTATTGTTAATGAGCTTGTCCCACATGCACTAACTATGAAATTAAAAAACCAATATATAAGAAATTACCTTTTGATCATGTAGGATGTAGCTTAGAATCTTAATTGATATCTAAGCCTCATTGATCTCTAGCCATATGTGGGCTAGTGAATTTTTTTTGCACGGTCCAGATGAGGTGAACTGTGTAAGGTGTCTGATACTCTTATTTAGTTGAACTTTTTTAGGATGACACCTCAAGTCTTAATAACCACAACTACATGATTTTTCCTTTACAACTAAATGAGTTTGTTGGTAGAAAATGTCGGTGATGAAGTCGAAGCTGATAAGCCAAAATGGGATTACCAACGAAGCCATATGAGTTCTCAACTATTAATGAATGGTGCATCCACTTTTTCTATTGCGTTTTAGGTAACACTAAGGGAAAGCAATCCTGGGAATTTACTATTGGAGGTAAACATCCAGCGCCTCCCACTTTACATTGCTACCATAGCACTTCTGTGGTCACAAATGATGAAGTGTATTTTATTATCTTCAGTTTCGCGGAAATGCTGGAAGCCATGATCTTCCTTTATTTGTTAAGACTCTAACTGCTCTAACCAAATTGACAAAACAAGGTGAAAGCTTATATGTTATCTCTGCAACAATTGAAGAAATATATTGTCAACTAATTTTCCCTTGCTATCCAGGTGCGAAGATGAAGCTCCCTAGGTATGATAAAGTAAGCATTACTCCCCACGTTGCAAAGAAAATGATAGTGACAAAAAGATATATACAATTTAACTAAAAACTTGTGTGGCATAACTTGTGGTGCAAGTTTTTCCCCAAATGATCTCTCATTTAAGAACTTAGACTGCTTTTTTGAAGAACCAATATGACATTTTATTAAAATAAGCAATAGAAATACATTTTTACGGTTAAGACCTCTTTTTCCCCATTTCCCTTCCAAATGCTTCTCTTTGAAGTAAAGGTATTTTTCTTCCTCTAACAAGACTTTTTTTTCTTGAAAATGAGTCATACCAAACCGCAACCTAAACATGTAGTAAAATTCTTGTTAAAACTAACAAGTAACGATGAATTAGTAAAAAGAGAATCAAACCTCCCCTCCCCTCCACACTTCATAAATTCCCCCTTCCCTTGTAGAAAAGGCTTGATAGCTAAGTAGCACGGAAACACGAGAAACATGATTTCTAAAAAATATAGTTTATGAAATGTGGGGGAAACACATTAATATTTAAAAGTGTACTGATATATTTATAAATATTTTATATATGGACACATGTTTTTTCATTTATATAAGCACATTATTTTTTCATATAACTTGTTTGATAACCCAATAATAAATACATAAATACATGTTCAAATTTAGAAATTTGTACATACTAGTACATAATTTAATGTAAATGTAATGCATTTCTAACAATATATTGCGCTATGAAATATCACAATGTTGCTAAGAAGAAGTTCCATAAAAATCATTAAAGATTTTTAAAAAGGCACTATTTTCCATCAAGGAATAACATAACAAAGAAAAAAATTGAAAATCCAAAGACCTTGAAACGTTAATACTTAGGGAAACAGGTTTCCCAATTCTTCTAATTACGGAAAGAACTCTGAAACAGATATGTGAACTTTTTGAGTTTCCAACACGCTTCTGGGTTTCCAAATCTGGGAAATGTGAGCAGGGGGAAGTTTAAGTGCTTCATAGCTTGGCAGGCTTCATATTTTTCTTGTCAGCATTGTTAACAAAAAAATGTTTAGTGTACATAAGTTATAAACAAAGTGTACAGACTATAAAAGCCGAAATTTTTCCCATCCCCCCCCCCTCTCTCCCTTCTCTCTTCCCTCTCTCTCCCTTCTCTCTTCCCTTCCCTCTTCCTTCTTTACCCAGCCCCTTCGAAAATTCCAAAAAAAATGGATGATCTTCTTCTCCTCGTCCCCCTCCTTTTCCCTACCTTTTTATATCAAAATTTTTCCATTACTTGCACAAAATCAGTTTATTCATCTTATTTCATCTATTATTATTATTGTTTTTTTTCAAATTCCATGTAAATTGATCACACATACAACTATATCATTCATTTGGATGTATATACACAATTATTATTTTTGTTCACCCAGACAATTAAAATTGATCACACAGACAACTAAAGTAGATCGCACAGACAATAGTTGTTCGTGAGTCGCACAACTATTGTTCGTAAGGTAAATATTGTCTGTGCACATAGCAATAATTGTCTTGTCTGTGCACACAAGCACTGCACACATATAGATTGATTTGCACGCTAGTGTCAGTGTTTGGCGGCCGTAAGTGTACTTTTTACATTAAAATTAATGTCTGTGGACACAAACAAAAGTTGTCTGTTACATAGACAACTCTTGTCTGTGCTCACAGGCAACTCGGTACCAATTGTCTGTGACCGACATTTTGTGTCCAAGTTGTGTACAACTTGTGTACACTTTCTATTATTAAGGATGTTTTTACTTGGACTGTAATTTGATGGTCTGGTCTGGTCTGGTTTCTTTGTATTCTTATAACTATCCAAGTCTGGTCTGGGACGAATTACAGTCCAAGTAAAAACATCCTAACACCCCTTATGCGGCAATGGAGTAATGATGATGATAATGATGAACTTATATAGGATATATTTTTAAATGAGTTATTTCGACTATTCAGTAGATTGATCTAATTCACCCACAACTGATACAAATTCGGTCACTCTAGTCATTTTAAGTCATACCATACTTACCAAACAAGCTCTAAGTATTTTTTTTTTCTAGATTGAAATATATGTTACCAAACGCTTTTCCATTAATAAAAATCACCAGATTCAAATAACTTATCGAACGGTTCCTATATCTCACATCACTTATTGTGTCATCTTCCTTGCAGTCAGCATATAATGGTAGAGGCGATAGAGCTGATCCTTCTACATGGCCAGAGATCGAAGGGCCTCTTTCGGTGCTTCTTTTAAAAAGATAATGTTTTTATTTCTAAAAAGGTAAGGCTAAAGGGTCAAATAGGTACATGAACTAACTTAAAGTGTTCAATTAGCCCCTTATATAGGATGTTCTGCCCGGCCGTCGCCAATTGGGGCGGTTCCCGGTGGAATTTTTTGATGAAATTTTTTGAGCATCTTCTTCATTAAGTCTAGTTTACCCATATCAAATTTCAGCTAAAACTTAAATCGGGAAGGCAGTCAAATGATTTTCTGAAATGTACTGTGCTGTTTAACTGCGCAGTTATCTTCAAAAAATCATTTGACTGCCTTCCCGGTTGAATTTTTAGCTGAAATTTGGTATGAGCAAACTAGACTTAATGAAGAAGATGCTCAAAAAATTTCATCGAAAAATTTCACCGGGAACCGCCCCAATTGGCGACGACCGGGCAGAACCTCCTATATAAGGGGCTAATTGAACACTTTAAGTTAGTTCATGTACCTATTTGACCCTTTAGCCAAAAGGTAATATTTCCGGATAAGTCCAATTACACATGTTTCTCTCTCTGTTGCTTTTTGTAGGTAGTTCTATTTGAGGGTTGGATGCTTGGTTTCAAGCCCCTTCCATGTGAAGTTGTCAAAGACGTTGATCCGCAGGTTTCTGCTCATTCCCTATGTGTGTCCTCATTTCTCTGGTTTTGTTAATGAAGTAATTTTAGAGCCTAGATGCACGTAATGTTATCTCATGGCATACACAGTCCTTGTGAAGTTATTCTTGTACATACTGTCACCTCATAATATGACACATTGCATCTTTATCATCTAAGATCATGTGTGTGTGTGGTGGGTTGCCAAGAGTTTGTTTCCACAAAGCCTTGTTTCCCGTATTGTGAACGTTCAAGTGGTCTTTTATGTTACTTGTGGTCAACCCAAAATATCAAAGCTGGAGGTTGTTAACAAGAATTTAGAAGCTTACTCTGATTCATGGGCCAAATTTGTCAATTCATGGATAGTCATCAAGATTCAAGACCTGAGATGTGTATATAAATGGCGTTTAGAGGTTGGTAAAGCCCATCCATAATCTCTTCACACACACGTACACAAAGTGCCTTCTCAAGTTCTCGGTATATATTTATACCCTTCATTTTTTTGTAGATTTTCATTTCTTTTAAACCATTGAAGGAAATACTTTGTAATTTTTTTAAAGATAGTTCACACTTTTCATCTCACGTACAAAATAATCAACCATTAGATTCAGGGCATTCAACAATTCCAAACAAATTTCATGACTATCCTACTCTGTAATGTGAATTTTCAGGCTGAAATAGCTATGAAGGGTGAGGGAAAGCCTGGGATGTCGGATGAGGAGGTTTTTTTATTCACAAGATGAATGGTGCCTTTACATATCCACCTCAACATCTTTTGTCTAATTTTTTGTTTTTCACCATGATCTCAGGTAAAAGAATTTGTGTCGCGTTACCTGCCAGCATACAATGCATACCTTCCTACACTCTACTCAACGGGACCCAGCGCTGCAGATCCAGACCATACACTGCTGATTGAAATTGATGAAGGCAGGAACCCAGTTCTTGGTGTGCTAGGTATATAACGACAACCTTTCAGCTGCAAAAAGTCTGTGAAGGGCGTCATCTGAGTTTCAAAATTGTTTTGTATAAAGCTTCTAACTACCTTTTGCTTGCTTGTTACTTGTTGAGTGTGTATGTTTGTCTCTCTTTTTGGGTGTGGACTTTCAATAAGCCCTCATCATTTTCAAGGGAAACTAAAAATGTATAGAAAATAACATAACGTGTATAGAAAATAAGTCTTCAACAGTAATCCACATACCAGTTTTATTTATGGTTATGCACAATTAAACAGCAAGAACCTGTCCATCTGTTTAACAACTTGCGCAACTACTTATATAGTTATATGCAAACCAAACTCAGCTAGACAGCTAGTATGAATCTACTCTGTTCACGTTCACAGTTCACCTGATTACATTGGCGAAATCATTAGAGGGGCTAGGGTTTGAAAATCTTATAGGCAAAATATCATTGACCTCCCTTGATGTTTGGTGTATGATCATTTACACCTCTGTGCTAAAAAATATGCTCTTACCCTCCTCCCTATCCTTTAAAGAGGGTTAAATAACTTCTATTTTACGTTTGGTGGTGTAAGCTTTTAGTCTGGTAACTTTAGTTGGTTGCTGGTTGGATAATTTATAAGTTTGCCCGCATTAAGGGCCTTTCCATAAGAAAATACACTTTATGATGGAAAATTTGGCGCCGATGACGTTAATCTGGTATGTTTTTTGCCGTAATGTGTGCTTTCCGGTGGAATTATTAGTCCGGATCATATTTGCATGTACGTATAGTTATGAGACTAATAGCGTCACAGTTGAAAGCTATCGGCTTAAAGCAACAATTCTCTCTAACTTTTAGAAGTAGGAAAATATCTTTGAGATTGTAGAGATTTTATTGGAATATGCATCTCACTTCATACATTATTTTTCTCACGTTGAAGGAGATTATTAGATTCAAGTTATTTATGCTATTCACAACGGTGATGAATTGTGTCAGTTTGGTTTCTCATTAAAGAAGTGGTGGAATTTGGTATAGCCTTTCTTTCTCGCATGTTAAGGGTTTGTGAACGGATAACGCAAGAGCTAGCTCGGGTGGCTGCTTCTATAGTTCTATGTATGCCCGTGCTTGTTGGCTTTCTTTGCCCCCTAGTTTTATTGTTGATGTTTTCCAACTATGATTTTATTAATAATGTTTAAGGTCATTAATAAAGTTTAAATGAACACTGTTTAGAATTACAGTTTAGCTAAATTTTTGGAATATTAGTTTATATCTTAAACATATATTAGTTGAATTTGAATGTGAAATGATTACTTTCATGGTTTACCTGCAAGCATGTCATATTTTGTTAAATATTAATAATGATCTCATTTTGTATGAGGATAGTGTCTCTAAAGTGTCTTTAAATACTCCGTAGTTTATATCTAAAACAATTTTTTTTTAATATTTTGTTAAATATTAATTTACAAGTTATCATTATATGCATAATGATCTCATTTCGTGCGAGGATTGTGTCTCTAAAGTGAAAATTAGAGATGCTCGACAGTTTGATTTTTTATGGTTAATTTTGAAAATAATGAAACTAGAATTGAATTGTACTATTTGAGCCTGCTTTGGCTAATTTCAATTGGTTTGTTTTACTTTTGGTCAATTTTAGCATGTTATGCTAGACTTTTGTCAATTTTCAAATCCAAAGTCTTAAACCGAATCACCTAAAGTTTGGTCAGTTTTTGTCAAATTTTGTGTGTTCTGTTCGATTTTGGTGGGATGATTGTTAACATGGACAAATTTAGTAATTATGAGACCACGTGTGAGGGTGGGTGATCATTCTAAAACGATTTGTATGCATACTTCAAGAAGTGCATACAAAAATTACATAAATATATCAACATAGAATAGGCAACAAAATGTAAGTAGTTAAAAAAAATAGAGAAAAAGGGCAAATAAGGTCACACACTAACAAAAAAAGATCAAATAAGTTCTTATTTAAGAGACTCTGTCTGGCCATCGCCATTTGGGGTAGTTCCTGGTGGAACTTTTTGATGAATTTTTTTGAGCATTTTATTCAGCAAGTCTAGTTTACTCATACCAAATTTCAGCTAAAACTTCAATCGGGAAGGCATTCAAATGAATTCTTGAAAATAACTGGGCAGTTATCTTCAAGAATTCATTTGAATGCCTTCCCGATTGAATTGTTAGCTGATATTTGGTATGAGTAAACTAGACTTAATGAATAAGATGGTCAAAAAAATTTATCAAAAAATTCTACCAAGAACCACCCCATATGGCGAAGGCCGGACAGAGCCTCATAAATATGGCTTTATTTGATCTTTTTTGGTTAGTACGTGGCCTTATTTGCCCCTTTTCCCAAAAAAAAAATATGATGGCCAACTTTTAAATTAATGTGTCTTGTTTTGATAAAAAAAGTTTATTTAATCTTTTCATTTGTAACTTGTATGTAACGAAAGACATAAATAGAAGACTTGTCTTCACATCAACATTTTAATATACTTCGTATTAATGAATATAATTATCTATGAAATCGTTTGGTTGGAAGTAGACAAGTAGTTCAATAAAATCTCAGTTAGTTCAGTAGTCTCGCTCAATCAACTGGGCAGCGGAAGAGCGAATAACTTGGAAATGGAAATTCATTTGGAGCCTCTTCAAATGAAGTACTACCTCCGTTCTCTTTTAAATGCAACGTTGGACTTTTTGCACTATTCACATGTTCTACTTTGACTACGTTTTATTTATTAATGTAATAATATATATTTTTGAAAAAAATATTGTTAAATTTTTCTCATTATAAATTTTCAAAATCTATTTTTTAAACTTTCTTTACTAATCGGGAATTATAGATATTAATGGTCAAAGTTGTGCCTCGGCAAATGTGAAATGTTGACTGTTGCATTTATTTAAGAACGGAGGAAGTACTAAAAAGAAAAAAAAATGTTTTTACCCATTCTTATATTCATCCATGTTTGTGAATATTTTATTTTGTCTGTGAATTCTTTCACAGACAAAATAAGACATATTTTGTCTGTGAATCGAATTTACAGACAAAAAAATAGTCTTTACAGAAGTGGGTATAAGACGGGTATAAGGGATGAGTACAACAAGCATTATTGAAAAAAGAAGTGTGTAAGTTACAAGAAATATTCCTTTCTCGCCTTTATGTAAGAAATTGTCAACCAAAATACGGCTTCACATGGTGTGTACACTGTTAAATGCTAGTATTTCATCATCATGGTTAGAATTACTCACTTGTGTTGATTCATGCACAAACAGATCTGGTTTCAAAAAAACAAATGCACAAACAGATCTCGTCGATCTCATGATTTTGTATCCCACTTTACCTTTGTGCGTGCGTCTTCTGTAGTTCCACCACTTGTTTAATTTAAAAACTTTCCCGTTTCAAAAGTAGGTAGATTAAAATAGTGAAAGAACATATGAATTCTTGAAGATATGATTGGAAGATAATGAAATAATATGATGAAATGAAATATAAATCCCAAAAAAAAAACAGTTTTAATAGTGTATTATTTTCAAAATTATTGAGCATATGATGAGAAGATTTAAAAATTAGATTTTTTTTTGTGTTACCGAGTGTACAATAATGTCTACTTGGAGCCAGCCACATGGCGGTGCCGCTGTAACTCCTCTAAGCATATAACTCACACCATAACCTACCCTCCATAACTCCATACATGTGCACTACACCATATTATCACTGTTCCAAATTAGGATTCGTATTTCGACACTCGGCTCCTACACAGTGCTACAACTCATTTTGTTCATATTTTAGAAAAAAAATTAATAGAATATTTTTTATAATAATTTTTCGTAGATTTAGCCTCTTCAATAATAATTTATAAATTTCACTAGTTAATTTTGTTGATACCAAATGAGCCATGACTAATAAAATAAGGACTAATAAGTTAGCTGCTAGCAACAATTATTGAAAATTCACAATATTCTTGTACCAATAAATCATTGGGAAAAATAATTAAAATAACCCAAATTTTGAATGAGTGTGAGATGAACGCTTCAAACTTGCATATGTAATTTAAATATCCCAAAAATTATGTAGAACTTATTTTATCACCATAGTCAAATATTGTTTTCTTAAAAAAATTGCATTTATGGTGTTCATTGCACAATTTAAAATATTTCAGAAATCATGAAGACACACAATTAACATTCTAAATTTTCATTGCAAAATAAATAAGGTTACCCCTGATCTAAACAATTGCAACACTTTTAATTTGTTATTTTAAATTATGCAATTAACCCTATAAATTTGCATTTTTGAAAGAAATAATCAATGAAAATGGTGAGAAAATAACTTTTATATAATGTTTGAGGTATTTAAATTACATATGCAAGTTTGAGATATTAATTGAAAGTTGACTCGCAATACTACTTGGAATGATCTCATAAGTCATAACTATCCCTAAACTCGGCCCTCAAGCCCTAGCACTAACATGGCAGCTTGATTCACAGACGTTCGCAAAAGAGAGTTTGTAAGAGCATCTCCATTCATGCTCTCTAAATAAACAGATTTTTTTGCCACATCATCGACACATAAAAAAACTGAAATAATCTTAGAACTCATTAAATCCCCCCAACCATCATCTTTAATTTCCAGATTATTGTGAGACATACACTAAAACAAACTATATATACCAACGTATACAAAATCTACGCACCACTAATCATAGGAAGCGTATATAGTACAGCCGGCTGTACGGTTCTCACCATACAGCCGGTGGCATTTTTGTAATTTACATGAAATTCGTGTCTTGTACTAAATGGGCATTAAAACACGTCTAGTGAGCATGAGACATATTTTATTGAGCATTAGAAGAATAACAATGTGCATCATGATCTCTGCTTCATCTCTTCGAATTTACTTTTTGTTCCTTATTTTTTTCTTTATAAAAACTTATTAAATTATACTCCTTCCGTCCCAAATTGTTTTGCAAAGTCAACATTTTTTGGTCAACCAATAATAAAAGTCAAACCTTTTTATTCATAATTAATTCAATTTTTAATAATTAAAATTTACATATTTATAAACTACATTGAAATCTTTTCAAAGTTATAAACTCCAAATTAGAATATAATTAAAAATTGACATCCTAATTAAGCGTACAAAACGAATCTGTTTGACCAAGAAAAGTCAAAGTTGCAACTCAATTTGGGATGGAGGTAGTATCTATAATCAACTTTTATGAACTTCAGTATGCGGATTTAATGCAATATGATACTTTGGAAATATGCATTGTTATGCCATTTTTCAAATGAGCATAACATGAATAACCGTTGAGCATAATAAATTATAAAATGAGAATTGATATGAAAATCATAGGTACTTTTAATTGAACATCAAGAAATTTTCATTGAGCATCAACTTGAAACTATAAGCATCGGTGATTTTCATTATGTGATTGTGATGAGCATCGAGTATGTTCTTTTGAGTATTAGGGGTCTAACAATGAGCACCAGTGATTTCTGCTTCATATCTTCTAATTCAATTTCTTTTTATTATTTTTTCGTTTATTATTTCAACATCTGAATCCAATGTACTATGATGCGTTTGAAATGTGAAACATTTTTAAATGAGCACAAAACAATAACAAATGAGCATATGTAACTTACAAGATGAGTATTCAAAAATTCAAATGCTCATTTGTGTATGCTCATTCGTTTTGATGTTATACTCATTTGAGTTTAACATAAAACTCATTTTCAATGTGTTCAATATTAATTTGTTGAGTTCATTTCCTTTTTTTAGACGTATACTCATTTGAATTTAATATAAAACTCATTTTCGATGTGTTCAATATTATTTTGTGTGAGTTCATTTCTTTTAGGCATATACTCATTTGAGTTTAAAAGTAAACTCATTTTTATAATATTACTAAGAGCGTAATAGATTTTTTATATAAAAAAAAATTGGCATCACATAGGAGGTTAGAAATTAGCCGTCTCTGCTTCTATCGATCGGTATCTGCAAGTCCGAAGTTGGGGCACTTGGAAGCTTTGCTATCGGCATTCTGCGTTCGTGAGTTGCAGCCGACTTTCGATCTGCCGTCCTCCGTCGTCTTCATCGCCAAGTTGCCTGGCTGAATCGCAAATTTAATTACAAAAAATCCCGGTTGTACGGTGAGCACCATACGGCCGGCGGTACGGTGTAATTTACGACTAATTATACGTTAAAACTAAGCATACACATATGCAACTCCTCTTTCACATTTTGTATATTTAATGCTTTTTCTTGGATTCCGCAAACGAATTAAAAAATTGGTAAAAAATCTCCAAATAATCTAGATTCAATATTAGATATCAGATCTTTTTAGAAAATAATCTTGTCAAATAATCTCATGATTTCAATCATAATCTAAACAAAAAATCATCCATATCATCCAATTGATCTCTAAATAATCTAAACAATGGGGATGTAACGTTCTCTTATACTTCGTAGTAAATTCCTAATATCATCATTCATCGATTAAAATAGAACAATCCTACTTTCTTGTTAATACCCTCAGCCACAGTAAGAGTATCTAATTCAATCAATTAAAACTCGCTGCCATCCCTTTTGTGTTGTGTCTCTCCGGTCTCCCTCGGGAATCAACTCGCCGCCTCGACTCCCAAAAGCCTCCAATAAACTCTCTCACTATGAGCACGCACAAATTATACCGTGGGATCATCCCACGGTGAGCATCGTGCTCCCTTCTAAAACGGCGCATTTTTTTTATTAAAATTTCAAATCTTTTATTTCCTTCATCTCATTCGCTCCTTCATCTTCTTCGTCGTTCTGCCTACCTGTTGCGCATCTGCTCTCTATCCAAACAATCTATTTCCTCCCTCTCTGTAATTATTGTGAATCTGGGAGCGCCGTGTCTAGGCTTAGGTACTCCGCATCTGATTCCCTGCTCTGCTTCGAAATTGCCTAAAATCTGATGACCACCGGCATAACACAGACCCTAAAACTTGATATCCCAATCATATTTACGCCCATCCCATCTATCCATGCGCAGATTCAATATGTATACAAAGTCAATAATCCAAGTCTAAGAGCCCGTTTGGTAGCACCAAAATCGCCTGTTTTGGCTGGTTCTGCTGAAATTTATGAAATTCTGACTGAAGTGGCTGCATTGGCTGATTCTTCTGATTTAAGGAAAAAAATTATTTCCTTAATAAGTGTAGATAAAACTCGGATTATTTTTAGTAAATAAAATTTACATATTCAGAAACTACATTAAACCCGCTACAAAGCCTGCAAAAAAAAATCAATTTTCATAAAGTTTTGATACAAAAAGTAAAAGTTTAAGAGTGATTTAAGTTGACTCTCGAAAAGCGAAATGGAAGTAAATTTAGGGACAGAGGGAGTAAATATATGGTTAAAATAGTTTCTCTTTCTTACGCACGAATTTCAATTACACAATTTATCATTTACACAATTTTTTTCTTGTTATTCCACGTATAAGTCAAATTTGACTAAATCACGGTGAAAGTACTACTTAGTACCTTCAAAATAAAAATACCATCAAAGGACAATAACATATGCTATAAATTCATAATCTATTTCTAATATTTGTCAAACAAGAAAACTCATAAGTAGTATTCCATCCGTCCCGCTAAGAAGTTCCCGCTTTCCTTTTTTAGCAGTCTCAAATAGAAGTTTCCTTTTCCTTAAATGGAGAGTTATTTACATCAAAACAGTGACAAACAGTGCAAAACAGTACCAAACAATGTCGAAACAGTGTCAAAACAGTGCTAAAATTTACCCTCTAATAAGTTTATTTCCTTAATATGTGTAGATAAAACCGGGATATAATTTCGATGAAAATTGAAAACTAAGGGAGTGTTTGCGATTGCTTGTGCTTTTTAAAAGTGATTTTTTTAAGAGATTATAGGAAAAGTGATTTGTAGTAAACGTTGATAGTGTTTGGGAATAGAAGTGATTTTAATTAAAATGTAAAAGTTGGAGTGTTTGATAAAAAAGTGATTTTTTTGGAAGTAGATTGTAGAAGTACAAAACTATCCTTCCATAATTAAATACAGTGTTTCTTCTCTTGGATCTTTCTTTCATCGGAGCATTCCAATGTGTTCGACGAGTGAGTTGGAGCTACACTGGTTTGAAGAGAAGGTAACTCTCACATATCATCTTGCTTCACCAGCTGGTTGAATTTCGAAGATATCTGTATCTATTATTTCAATTCCCATTCCAAATTTCCAAGCCGCTGACCGCACCGGCTAGTTCTTCAAACATGTTTAAATCAGGATTCTATGATGCATTCTAATGGCATTTCTTTAGAGCAAAGAAAAAAACGAAAAGAGGAAGAGGGTGGTCCTAGTCGTGAATTGGGGCAAGTGAAGCACGAAGGAAGCTTATGAATTGGGGTAAGTAAAACGTGAAGCAGATTGCAGGTCTGCGAAAAAGGAAGAGTAGTTTGGGATTAGGAGAAACATTTGACCATTATAATTATCCTTGGAGTTCTAATTATTTACAAGTATACCTAGAAGTTGATAAAAGCAGCAACCTGGTAGCTTCTAATTTATGACTTTAAAGTGCTTTTTTTTAATTAGAAGTTGGGTTTGACAAACATCTCTTTTTAACTTAGGGAAAACTGTCAAATAGGTCCTCAAACTTTCATAAAAAGGTCAATTAAGTCCTTCTATAGGAGGTTTTGTCCGGCCGTCGCGATTTGGGGAAGTTCCCGGTGGAATTTTTTGATGACATTTTTTGAGCATCTTATTCATCAAGTCTAGTTTACTCATACCAAATTTCAGCTAAAAATTCAATCGGGAACACATTCAAATTAATTCTTGAAGATAACTGCGCATTTTTGCGTTCTCGAATTAATTTGAATGCGCTCCCGATTAAATTTTTAGCTAAAATTTGGTATGAGTAAACTAGGCTTGATGAATAAGATGCTCAAAAAATTTCATCAAAAAATTCCACCGGGAACCGCCCCAAATCGCGACGACCAGACAAAGTCTCCTATAGAAGGACTTAATTGACTTTTTTATGAAAGTTCGAGGACCTATTTGACAGTTTTCCCTTTAACTTATTTTGAGCAACTGCAAACACATTGGGGCATACGACACTGTGTATACGCCCATGTATACTTTTACGTGTAGGTTCGTAAATTTCCAAAATTAAAAAGCTTGAAATATTCGCCCACCAAAAAAGGGAAGAAACGAGAGTGGAGTGTAAGTAAATAGGGAGTAAAAGTCAACGTGACTTTTGCAGGAAAGGCCCGTGACCAAAGCTGGTGTGGTATATAGCAGAATGGGAGGGGCACTTTCGGGAATAGCAGGGCTTTAGTCAGCCGCTGAGCGGTGATGCACCGCCAAATAAAAGCAACTCGAACTGCAGCGGCCAGACAAATCTCCACCGGCGGCGAATCACTTTCTTCCTCATCCTCTCCTTTTGAGGTAATAATGCACGACTTCCCGAACACCTACGTTCTATACTTGTTCTTTTTCCGCCCTCTCGATTTCACTAAATACGTAGCTCATTATAATATTACAACCTTATGAAATCCAGTGTTTTTCACTTCAGCTGTACGTATATACTAGCTCTTTCTGTACACGTCCATTTAAATACGCAACTATACTAATTTTGTCTACACTTTTCGCTTTGCAGCGAATAGCGAAATGAAAATTGCCTGAATTTTGGATTCCAGTCGCAAGCCAAGATAGATCAGTGAATTGAGTTGTTGAAGACTTGACTGCGATTGACTGCGACGGTGGTTACTTTGAGTTAATATTGGCTGTCAAATGTCAATCCTTTTTGTTAAAATAGAGACTTGAGTCAAATAATTTGTTTCTTTTTTAGCTCTCCTTTAATTTTCTCGAGCCCTTTTCAAGTTTTCATGTCTCAATTGTGCTGTGCACTCACTGGAGGTTGTCTATCTTTTAATTAAATAAATGCGAAGTTTTAACTGTATTCCGTATTATTATCAAATCAAGCCGTGCATATTCTGATCCGAATGTTCACTAGTTAATAAACATTTAAACATATAACAAGAAATTCAATAACGTACAAGTGATAATTCAAGATCTCAATCATTTTTATCGTCTCTTCAGATGTGGGAAGAAAACGAAATGTCTCATGGAGCAACAGTAACTTAATTTCCTTTTGAGATCTCCTTGACCCGTTTCTTCTTAGTTGTTGTTGCAGCTGAAGGTGGGTGATGTAGTAGAGCACGAGAGCCTCTTCATTTTCAGCACTTGAAGATCTACAAATCTTGCCTATTCGAGAACCTCTTCTACTACTCTAGCACTGCACGTACAATCATAACCACTTGATTTAGAAGACCCTTTTTGGGAAATCCATTACTCACAAAAAGTTGCTAGATTTGAGGGAAAATGTCTTCATGGGATGCTTTGGGAGGCATAGCAACTGTCGCCCAGCTTTCAGGGATCGATGGGTTGAAGCTAATCGGGATGATAGTGAAAGCAGCAAGCACTGCAAAGATGCACAAGAAGAACTGTAGGCAGTTTGCGCAGCATCTCAAGTTAATTGGCAATCTATTGGAGCAGCTCAAGCTATCCGAGCTTAAGAAGTATCCAGGAACAAGCGAGCCATTAGAACTGTTTGAGGATGCCTTGAGGAGGGCATTTATCCTGGTTAACAGTTGCCAAGAACGGAGCTATCTTTATCTATTAGCTATGGGGTGGAACATTGTGTATCAGTTCCGGAGGGCTCAGAATGAGATAGACAGATACTTGAAGATCATCCCCCTCATCACCCTTGTGGACAATGCACGTGTCAGGGTACTTAAATTTCCTCTCTGTTGTTTCTTTTTGGAATGCCAAAATCATGTATATGCTCCATCTTGCTAATATTCACTTCACCAAAATCCCTTTTCCACGCTTCGTTGAGAATTATAACTAATAGGATACCTAAGCATACTAATTTTTTGGTGAGCACGGTTTGCTATATGTGTGATAAACTATATATCAGATCATTTCCTTGTTAAGTTCAGTTTTAATGTCAAGTACAGATTCAACTTGTCATGTCCTACTTGGAGCATAATATTAGAAGTCCCACAAAGATAATGGGTCAGTAAGACCTTGGTTGAACTAGCTGACATATTGGATTCAAATCTTTTGGACCAAGTGCTGTAATGCCCAGTTCCCCCACTCAAATCTTGATTTCTATCACACTATCTGGAATTATGTTTCCCAGTTAAGATTACAGAGAGGATGGTCACACATTATGGCTATGTCTTATGTGGTGACCAGTGGCGTAGCCGGGGCTCCCAAAAGTTTGAATTCGGTATGGACTGAAAAAATAGATCAATCCTATGAGGTTTAAAAGTAAATTTTAGTCATAGAAAATACCAGTTTTGATGAACTCGGGGACCCTCCCTTATCTAGTATCTACACCCATGCACTTAAACCAGTGTGTATCTGGTATTCGGATGCATGTTCAACTGTTTCCATGCTGTGTTTGTACTTGATCAAGTCTAACACAGTAACTTCAGTTCATAATTGCTCTAACAATGTAGGTATGCCTTGAACTGCGATGTGGATGACAAATGCATCATATGCTTACTCTAGACAGTAATATTTTTCTTAGCGCTCCTCTCTACATTTCCAAATTAACTCTTACGACGATTGGCAGGAGAGATTGGAAATTATTGAAAAGGATCAAAGAGTTTACACTCTGGATGATGAAGACATGAAGGTGCAACAAGTCATAATGAAGCCAGAACCCTCTAAAGACGATACTGTTGTATTGAAGAAAACACTTTCATGTTCCTACCCAAGCATGCCCATCAGTGAGGCAATTCGCAAAGAAAATGAAAAACTTCAGCTAGAGCTGCAACATTCCCAAGCTAATTTAGACGTACATCATTGTGAATTCATTCAGCATCTTCTTGATGTCACACAAGTTGTTGCTGCTACTTCTCTTCCTGAGAAAAATTCGCCTGCCAAACCTATCAAAGTAGGGCATGATTATTCAGATGATGAGAGTAATAAAGAGACTTGTGATGAAAGCTACAGAAAAAATATTGATAAACAAACAACTCCAAGGTAGATTCTTAATAAAAAAAGTCTTGACATAACTACATGTGTTTCGCCATTCTTTTTTATGTACTCAATTTTAAAGTTTTTTGGTGAATCAAACTAGTTGTGTGCTACATATGAAGATCATGCTATCTTGTAGCTTATTAATTTCATTGTAGTTTGTCACCAAGTGCATTTTATTTTGCAGAAACACTTCTTCAGTTTCATCCAAACAGGACTTGTTATCTTCAAAGGGTTCACATCAATATGAAGAATGGCATTCGGATCTTTTGGGCTGTTGTTCAGAACCCCTTCTCTGTATACTACATAAGCTGCTCTGTTTCATTTAATAAATAAAGTTTCATCTATTGCTTCCTCATTTCCATTCTCCTAAAAAAAGGATGTAGGATTCCTCTAGGCCGGTTTATAAATCTCGATTCTTCCTCCACCCATCCCAAGTTGATTTGAAATTTGCGGTTTTTAAGTGTTACTGACGATAAAGTTAAATAAGTTTTTATCATTAAAATTTACACATTCAAAAACTACATAAAAAATTCCATAAAGTTGCAAATTCTATATTAGAATATGTTAAAAAAGTGATATCCTAAATATAAAAATAATTTTAAACAACGGTGACTAAGAAAAGTAGACCTGCAAACCCGTTTTAGGACGGATGAAGTTTATATTTGTGATTTCATAAAAATTGAGAGAATAAATAGACATTCATATATCATTTCAAGAATTAATTCCACTTTTGGTGAGTTTCATGTCATTTCCACATTTGGTCCACGTCTTTGACTTTGACCACTTTTAGTACATGAGTATTGTGTTTTCGCCCATACATGGTCCTTCCGGCAACAATTCCGGTGGTTAAAATTGCCAGAGAAGGACAACAAATGGTCAAGAAACATTAGTCAAGTACCAAAAGTGGACAAACTGAAAGACGTGGACTAAATGTGGAAATGACTATAACTCGTAGGACTAAAAGTGGAAATAATTCATCATTTCAATCACAAAACCCTTCAGAGACTCCCCCTCCTAAATGATCACGATTCCAAGTAATTGGGGGCTGACAATGAGATTTTGTAGGAGAAAGGAATTAAATATAAGTAAAATATGCTAATGCATAGAGACAATTGAGGGTGTATAATGTACTCTGGCCTATCTTCATTAAATCTCATGTTGTCATTTGGTAAGTTCAGATAATAGACAAATGATGTCTTTGGTGCTTAATAGACCTACTATGAACTTAGAGGCTGGATTGCTGGATGACTGAAAGCTTAGGATTTCTCAACTTGTATCATGATATATTTACAGGTGTACATTACTCAACTAACCGAGATGGGAGAAAGCTAAGCTGTTAATGTGATACTTCACATTGTTGCAATATAAGCAAAGAAAAAGTGAACCTGTGTGTTCCATTTAGTGTTTCACTTGGAAGTAAATAAGGAAAGGAGCATTTAAATTGGTTCAAAATTGAAAAATATAGCTCTAGTTTTCCAACTTCAAAATGCACTCTCAACTTAAGACCAACTCTTACTCTGTATATCTTATTTCAGAACATTAATAGCATGAGACTCATTTAGAATCCAAAACTCTAGTGACACTCACATGCTCTCTCAGGATTTTGGGTGGCTTGTAACTGTTGATTTATAGAAGGTTGAGGATGTTTTTTTTCACATTTTCTAACCATTTGATTTTTGGCAGGCATAAAAACCTTACTATTTCCATGTGTGACATTTTCAAAAATTGCAACTGTAGCAACCAACAAACATATTTGTGAGTTGCTCTATAATCTTTTGATTGATATTGCGACTGCTCATACAACTTGGAAATGCCTTGTGGTTTGCTTTAAATCTGGTCTATAGTTTGCTTTTAGTTCTAATGTATAAGCTATGAAGTATGAACTATAAATGGCTTAGCATGGCCCGCGTGTCTTACTATCATGTGAAGATTGTGGCTCGTTAAAGTTCACCAATCCTGAATTCTGAGTGCTATTTTTGAATCATAGTTAGTTCGATTACTTGTTTGATCGTAATTACAATATTGAGACATTAGATTTTATCCAATGAGTTCAAGTGTTCAACTTGATACGGGAAGTAGTCCAAATATGCACGTATGACTTTCGTGTTTTTATGTATGAATGGTGTGGGATACCTTATTGGCTTAATAGTTAGCAGAGCCTGTAGGGTTCTTGCTATTTGCTCTTGAGAAAAAATGTTTACATATTAATGACATCTTTGTTGCTCCGTGGAATATAACACATTGTGAAGAAACTAAATTTCTCTTTGGCTGTATATATTCCCCTTTATCATTCAAATTCAAATGATAATGTGTGCCTTCCCTGCAATTCAAATATTTATTTGTAAAAGGGTTTCATTTTGTTTTTTTTACCAGAGTTCAGTAGTTCTGTGCTGTTTTTAATTTCCTTTTGTCATTCTTGTGAAAACAGCTTCAGCAGAAGCATGTAATGAATTGATGGCATACACCTTAATATTGTCCTGCTGCTGTTACACATGTTGCATCAGAAGGAAGCTGCGGAAACAGCTGAGCATCTCGGTATCTTCTCCTGTTCTATGCATACCAAATTTAGCAAACTGCTGTATCTCCAACTTCTGGGACCAGGATACATGAAGTCCAAAGTGTATAGTTATAGTAATAATAATACGAGTAATAAATAGTAAAAAAGTACAAGACTAACAACAACTACTACAACCACAATAGTTTTAATTATAACAATAAGGTTCAGTTGATTCAAAAAATCTCAAATTTCACCTCTCTTCTCAAATAAACTCACTTGATAGTATAAAAATAATCTGACTTTTTTACTCATCTGTTTTCATTGATCTGCGGCCTGTTCTTGATGACCTGTTGTCTCGGTTATTTTCTTCTTCTTCTTCTCCTTTGTGCAGTTAAGCTTGCCTTTTTCTTTCTTTTTTCCCTTTGCTTGTTAAGATGACAGGCCTCGTTTTCCTTTTTGTTATTTTTTCCTTCTTCCCTTGGTTTTAGTTTTCCCTTTTTCCGTTTTCCCTTGCAGCCATATCAGAAGAGTTTTTTCCTTCTAATGTAGTCTTTGGAATTAATTTCGCTAAATGTAATAGTGAACTCATTGGTTTTCTTGCTTCTTTTTGCAGATTTTCTATTTATTTATTTATTAATTTAATTATTTCCCCCTTTTGTCTTTCTCCCCTTGTCTGCCCTATCAACAAGTCTTTCTTTTTCAATGTAGTCACCAGAATGGTGAGTTTGCTAGTTTCTTTCGTTTGTTTCTTCTTCCCATTGGTTTTCATTTTATTTTATTTTTCTTTTTTCCTTTCCTCCTCTGTCCTCATAAGAATATGGTTTTCTGATGAAATCGCCATAATTAATGAAAAACTACATTTATTCCAGGGACGGTCAGGATGTCATTGGAAAAAGTTTCTTTCAATAGGGGAAAATAAAAAAATGAAAAACAGAACTAGAGTGAAGAAGAGATAAAGAAAGCGGTGAGTGCACCATTAGTTCTGGGAACTCCATCAAAAAATTCTCATGCAGACAAGGGATGAAGGTAAAAATAAAAGAAAAACAACTCGTGAGATGATTGGTTAACAAAAAAGGTAGAAAGAAAACCTGTGATCTTTTCAAAACAAGCAAAAATAAAATAGGGAGTAAATGCAAAAATGGTATCCCAACTATTCAGTTTGTGTCTTTAGGTACCTAAACTATTGAATGATACAAATCAGTATTGGAAGTGAATTTAATTCTTTCAGGATAATATATTTGAAATTTTGGTTAAAAAACCCTTGTCACTCTAAGTTTCACGTGCCCTCCACAATAAATATGTGCAACAAATTATATATCCTAGTATACGAGATCATCATGATTCTTCTCAGCTTGTACAATAACTAGACTACCTATATGTCTTGTTCATGAACTAGCACATCCCCCCCCCCCCTCCGAACTAGCACAGTTCCATAAGTGCTTGATATACGCGTGAATCAAGCATTTAGATGTACTTTGTTTGGGAAATGTACGTGAAATTGAGGTTGCTACTTTAGATAATTTTAGCATGAATTTCAATTGTACCCATCCATGGTGACTTTAGAATACTGGTTTAATTTTGTGGGGTATCAAAATGCATCAATTTCACTAGTTATGGTACACCATTAATGCTAAGAGGCTTATCCTTTTCACAAAGAAAAAAGGAAAAAGGCCAGCCTCAAAGGTAACAAGGGAAGAAGAAACAAGAAAGCACGTGAATTGAAAATGTTGGAGTTTGAAATCAATTTGAAGTTTTAACTAATCGTAATAATAATAATAATAATAATAATGTTAGTCTCTATAGTGTCTATAAATGTTGGCGCTAGTACTGATTTGGAAAGCAGTTATTAATCTTTTCATTAATTTATATAATTAGCTCCTATTTTAGTGATTAGTTACCTTGTCTATAGTGATTGTATAGCTGATTTTCTGTATGTTAAAGAGCTATTTTATGACATCATTGTTGTATATGAAGACTAGATGCAGTACATGTACGCCATACTGATTCAATAAATCGATGTTTACCATATATTGCTGCGTTTCTATAACAAACACAAGCAACCATGTATGGAAGCGCAAATTTTGATACACATGAGGAATTTAGGGGTTATAATCAACAATGATAATAAATTCTAAAAAAGCAGACATCTGCATTGTATTTTATGTCCACTGAAGTAAATCTATATGTCATAATAACGTATACTGTATTTCAAATTGCAGGGAGGGTTTATTGATGATTTCCTCTCACACTTGATGTGCTGCTGCTGCGCCCTGGTGCAAGAGCACCGGGAACTTGAGATTCGTGGAATCAACGGTATGCGTTCTTGCTAGCGGTGACTTTCCTCCATTATTTTTTGTGATGAGTCATATGTATATAGTATATACCTGAAGTATATGTGGGGGTACATTGATAAAACGTGATGCAGGCATACATAAGATGAAAACAAGGCCCCCGCCGCCTCAATTCATGGAATCTTAACATATGAGTAGAGACAAGAGCTAGCAGCAATGGATACATTATACTACGGTATATCACGCCTGCCTGTATGTGGGGTGTAAAATGGAGGTCCGTACGAGGGAGATCAGGCAGCATGTAGATATGATATAGCTAGGAATCCTAGGATAACCACGATGCGTACGTTATGTCTTTTATTAACGTACAACAATTAATTTACTCTTCTGTATGATGCCTTATGCCAGGTCCTACCTATGTTTGTTTCTTTGGAGCATAATCTATTAATCTATCTTCACGCCTGCAGGAATTGGTAACCACTCTGGATTCCCATATCGTTTGTGGCTTACCTCTCACATAATATGGGAAATTTTACACCGTAAATGTGATATTAGTAATATTCTATTACTAGTATGATTAATAGTACAACATTAGTGCACATAAAAAAGTTGTGCACTAGCACTACAATATTACAGTGTGATACAAAAGATAAACGTTACAAACTACTCCCCCGTCTCAAAAAACTCTTCCCACATTGACTTGACATGCAATCTAGGAAGTGAGAGTAAAGTCAAAATGTACGATTGTAGTTGTATAAGAAAAAGTAAAATGTCCTTTCAAAAAAAAAAGTAAAATGAATGTGAGTCACACAAATTGCCCAAAAATGATAAGCGAAAAGAACTTTTTTGGACGGTCCAAAAAGAAAATTTGGAAGAATTTTATAGGACAGAGGAAATATACTAGTATTACAAGATCACAATGTGTTATTACATCAATCATTGCTAGTAAACAATCAGCATAATATTACTACATGCTACTAATATGACAATTAGTAAAAAATGTACAATATTTGTAAAATATGATGATAACTAGTATTACTAGGCTTAGTAATATAACAAGTTGAATAATATGTCAACTTTGATAGTATAACTGTAATAGGAGAAATACGGAGTAGTAAATAAGTACTAGTTACTATTACAGTATAATAAATGATGTGTGTTTTCTCGCACTTAAAAAGATTGTAATATAGTGGTGTAAGTACGAGTATCGTCTCCACAGGGACGGACAAAAGGGAATTAAGAATTAACTAAATTCAGCGATTAAAAATAAATAAATAAATAAAAATGCGTCGTGCGAGATTGGTTGCTGGAAAATAAAAAATGCAAGCAATTAAACTAGGGGGTTCTTTCTAATTAATGACGAAGGGAACAGGGATCGATTCCGGGGTAACCAGATTTCTGGCAGATCATGCCTAATTACATGAAATTAATTTAATTGAGCCTAGCTAATCATTACTAAGTTCTTACCGCTCTCGTGGCGTAGAGTACAATACTTTAGGGGACCAGGCTGATCTCTCATGCAACGGGATCCTAAATTATTGCCAAGACGAGCGAGTTTACGGCCCCTTAATCGCTACTAATCTCTTAGCGAACGATTAAGTGTGTGTGAATGTGTCCTAGAACAAATTAGATCTCTCTTAATTTATTCTACATGCAATTGTAATTCTAGTCGCGATTCTAGGTTACAAAAGATATCAATTAAATTATTCAAACACAAATTCAACGGCATTCATGCAATTAAACCGAAAAGAATCTAGCCATACATCATGATCAACCCCTTCATCAATCCCAAATCCCTAATTAAAACTACTCACAATTCATAATTGAAGAATCAATAGAATTGGAATAAAAAGAATTAATTGTCATTAATTAAAAAGGTGGAACTTACAAAGAATACCAAAAGATTGATGAACAAGGCTGAAAAGCCCTCTAAAATTCGTGCTAGGCACTCTCTCTAAACTCTCCCCTCAAAACGGGGGTTTACAGGCTGTTTAAATAGAAAAATCGGGTGAAATTTGAGCTGAATTAGGATTTTCGGAGCCAGGCACGATGCCAGGCACGATCGTGCCTTCGATTGTGCCTCCCTCCAGGCACGATCGTGCCTGGCTGGCAGTAACTCCGCGGTGCTTTTCTCTTCAGGCACGATCGTGTCTGACTTTGAGGGCACGATCGTGCCTACTTAACTTCCGAATTTGACAAAACTTCCTTCATGAAAGTTGTAGATAATGAAGTCCTCTATCCACCCCAATTTGCCGAATGTGATTTGAATCATACAATCAAGAGATATGATCAAAACAGTGGAAGGTGTCTTTCTGAAATCGCAGCAGAGATCATCTGACTTCATCGTCTGTTTTCACCTTCTTCCTCTCCGATTCTCGCAAAGATGTCTTCATATGATTTGTAGCCCTTGAAGTTGGCTTTCCTATGGAACTTGAATCGTGTACATTGGATGTTTCTTCAAAGAGATATGTTTGAACGATTGACAGAAGGTCATCCTGATCGTCGTTTTCAAGTTTCATTCATCTTCTTTTGATCCCGAAGCCAGTCCTAGAGCTCTTTTTCCTTCAAATTTTCATCGTGAATCTTCCGGTGACCTCCAAAGCTATCAAATCATTCTCAAATGCTTCTCAAATCATCCCGATTGTTCCTCAAGTGCCGGTGTCGGGCTCAAATTCCCTGATTTTGACTACAAACAACACAAAACTCGAACCAACGCTCGGTAAACATAACTTGAGCTAAAATTGAGACTTGTAACACCTTAAAACTAGGAAAATCATCAAAAGCCGATCTCAACACGCATCAAATACGTGTCAAAATACGGGCTTATCACTAATATAGTATGCTAATTGTAAATGTAAGAATTACGAGCTTAAAGTGAATGTGAGAAAGTAACATAAGAAACTCTTTTGGTAATACTAAAGATTGTTGAAATTCTATTAAAATGATTGAATTGGTTGAATTATAGAATATATATATAGAGAGAGAGGAATACTCAGGTCCATCCGGAGGGACGGGAGGCTCTGTCCAAACTTTACTGTTTGGGGCCCTTCCCGGTGGAATTTTTCGATGAATGTTTTTGAGCATGTTCTTCATGAAGTCTACTTTATTCATACCAAATTTCAGCTAAAAATTCAATCGGGAAGGCAGTCAAATGATTTTTGGAAGTTAACTGCGCACTTTATATACATATAAAACATAGTCATCTTCCAAAAATCATTTGAGTGCCTTCCTGGTTGAATTTTTAGCTAAAATTTAGTATGGATAAACTAGACTTCATGAAGAACATGTTCAAAAAAATTCATCAAAAAATTCCACCGGGAAGAGCCTCTGTCGGACGGATGCTCCTGCCCATCCGGATGGACAAGATCTTTTTCCTATATATATATATATATATTGGGAACTCTTCCGGTAAGGTATACCTTACCGGAGCCGCCGTGCGACATCCACGTTTTGAGGGCCTTCCCGGTGGAATTTTTCGATGAATTTTTTTGAGCATGTTCTTCATCAAGTCTAGTACATCCATACCAAATTTCAGCAAAAAATTCAATCGGGAAGGTAGTCAAACGATTTTTGGAAGATAACTGCGTTTTATATGTAGGGTGCAGTTATCTTCCAAAAATCGTTTGACTGCCTTCCCGATTGAATTTTTTGCTGAAATTTGGTATGGATGTACTAGATTTGATGAAGAACATGCTAAAAAATTTCATCGAAAAATTCCACTGGTAAGACCCTCAAAACGTGGAGGTCGCATGGCGGCTCCGGTAAGGTATACCTTACCGGAAGTTTTTCCTATATATATATATATATATATATATATACAGAAATGCTCAGGTCCCTCCGGAGGGACGGGAGCAGCCGTCCGAACTTCACTGTTTGGGGCGGTTCCCGGTGGAATTTTTCGATGAAATTTTTTGAGAATGTTCCTCATCACGTCTAGTTTGTCCATACCAAATTTCAGTTCAAAATTCGACCGGGAAGGCAGTCAAATAAATTCTTGAAGCTTACTGCACATTCTGCGCATATATAAAGTGCAGTAAGTTTCAAGAATTTATTTGACTGCCTTCCCGGTCTAATTTTGTGCTGAAATTTGGTATGGACAAACTAGACTTGATGAGGAACATGCTCAAAAAATTTCATCGAAAAATTCCACCGGGAACGGCCCCAAACAGTAACGTTCAGACGGCTGCTCCCGTCCCTCCGGCTGGACCTGAGCAGTCCTCTATATATATATAATACTACCTCGTCCCGTATTGGTTGTCAACTTTCAATTTGGCACGATTATTAATAAAGTGGTTGAAAATTAAAAGTTGTGGTTAAAATTTGAGTAGAATAAAATGAAATGATAAGGACCACATTTTTCTTGCCAAAAAGGGAAACAAGACATTCATTTTGGGACAATCCAAAAAGGATAGTAGGACAACCAAAATCGAACGGAGGAAGTAATATTTTATTAATAAAATAAATAAAAAATTGTATGAATAAGTAATTAAAATGGCCCATTAAAATAATTCAATCCTTATTTACTTTGATTATGACATGATTCAACCGTGATACTAGTGCTGGACTCGGGCCGGGCGGCCCGGCCCGGAACCGGCCCGGCCCGGTTACTGTTAGGCCCGGCCCGGCCCGGGGCCCGGTGGGTCCACCGGTTCGGTTCGGCCCGGCCCGGCTGCTGGGCGGTTCGGGCCCGGGCCCAGGTTTTGGTGAACCGGCCCGGCCGGTTCGGGCCCGGTCCGGGCCGGATTTTAATTTTTTTTTTTTTTTTTGAAATTTTTTTAAGTTTTAGGTTGGATTAGGTATTTTGGGCCATTTGAGGTGGTTTGGGATGGTTTGGGGTTGAGGGGGAGGGGTAGGGGATTAAATAGGAGACCAAAAAAAAAAAAAAAAATTAAGTGGGCCGGTTCGGCCCGGCCCGGCCCGGCCCGGTTTGGCCCGGAACCGGAACCGGAACCGCCCACCGGCGGTTCGGGCCCGGGCCCTAGTTTTCTGGCCCGAGGCCCGGCCGGGCCCAGGCCCGAACCGGGCCCGAACCGGCCCGAGTCCAGCCATACGTGATACCAAAATGTACATGTTTGATTAAAACTTGAATCATAAAGTTGATAAAGGAATTTTTACAAAATATGTATAAAATGATTGAAATATTAAAAACTTGATCAAATCTAATATTAGGTAAATTTTACTATTTTGAAAGTCTAGTTAGGTTTGATGAAATCTAATCTGGTCTCAAAATTATAAAATTGAAATGTCCAAAGGAAAAAAGATCTAATATAGCCAATTAGCAAATGGCTCTGGCACAAGTTGTCCAAAAAAACAAGATATATAGGCAGTGAGGGTCCACCCCTACCTTACGTTCCCATACCTTTACATTAACCAAAAATAAAAAAGTTACTGGCCTTCCATATTTGGAATTACATGTTGTCTGGCCTACATTCTAAGATCGATGTTAGATTTATCCAGTCCACTGTAAAAACTACACATACATACACACATTGCATCAAATTAGGACACGATTTTGTCAAAATAGTACTCCGTAGTA